GTGTGTGTGTGTGTGTGTGTGTGTGTGTGTGTGTGTGTGTGTGTGATGTTACTAGGGATCAATGCAAGACAAGCACTCTACCACTTGAGCTACTCAGCCTTTATATTTATTTGAGGCAATGTCTTCTATAGTCCAGGCTGGCCTCAGATGCCCTGTATAGCAAAGTATGGCCCTACACTGTTGCTCAGGACTCCATAATTGTTTCTGTTTATTTTTGAGGAGAAAGAGTAGGTTTGTTTTTTGAGATAGGGCTTCTAAGTGCTGGGATTGCAGGAGTGGTCCACCATGCACAGCTCTGGACTCCTTTAAACAATCATCTTTAATTCTATGTGAGTGTGCATGCATGGGTGTGCATGCAGTGATGTGCATGTGAAGGCCAGAGGACAACCTTATGGACTCCAGAGTACTCTCCTTCCACTTCTGCTGTGGACCAAATTCAAGTCTATCTGGATTAGCCGGCAGCCACAAAGACCTGCTCTGTCCTCGGCTTCCCTGGAGGCTGTCTTCCCAGTCCTCAGTGTGATTGTCAGAAGCTGGCCTGCTCTTTTACAGCCAACACTTTGGTTCAGATTTTTTAAAATTGACTTCTTGATTAGCCTAACTCCTGTCCCTCCTTTTGGGCTTTTCTTGGAAGCACGCAGCAAGATTTACTGGAACAATATACGTGGCTCCTATTCCCACAGCAGCCAAGACCTTGAGAAGGAAGAAGGCACAGAGCCAGGAAGCTTGGAGAAACAAAGATGCGGCTGAGTGTGGCAGCACTCAACCTTTAATCCACTGGTTCGCAACCTTCCTAATGCTGCGCCCTTTATTTCAGTTCTTCAGACTGTGGTGACCCCAACCATAAAATTATTTCATTGTTACTTTATATCTGTAAGTTTGTTGCTGCTACGAATCATACTGTAAATATCTGATATGCAGGATAACTGATATTTGACACCCCCCCCAAAGGGGTAGAAACCCACAGGTTGAGAACTGCGCCAATCCCAGACTCAGGAGACAGATGCAACTACAGCAAATTCCAGGCCCACCAGAAAAAAGAAAAGCAGGGACTTTAAAAGGAGAGAGATTGGCTGGTGGTTGTTGTAGGGGTGAAGTAGGTAACTATGGTTGACAATAATTAGATATTTCAAAATAGCTAGTAGAGAGAATAGTGAACACTCTGAACACAAAGAAAATCATGCCTCAAGTGGAAGATATGTCAGTTACCCTGGTCAGAGCAGTACTCTTGTATACGTGTTTTGAAATGTCACATAGAACCCCAGAAATATGTAAAATTATTATGTTAAACACTTAAAAAGAGGCTGTGCATGGTGGCACACACTTTTAATCCCAGTACTCGAGACAAAGGCAGGCAGATCTCTGAGTTTGAGGCCAGTTTAGTCTACAAAATGAGTTCCACAACAGTCGGAGCTTCACAGAGAGAACCTATCTCAAAACAAGGGGCCTGGATACATGGCTCAGAGGTTAAGAGCACTGACTGCTCTTCTAGAGGAACCAAGTTCAATTCCAGATACCCACATGGTGACTCACAACCATCTGTAATTCCAGCTATGGAAGATCGATGCCCTCTTCTGACCTCCAGGCACGCATGTCATGCACGGACATGGATGCAGACAAAGTACATGAAAATATATAAAAAATAATAAACCGGGTGATGATGGGGCACGCCTGTAATCTTAGCACTTGGGAGGCAGAGGCAGGCGGATCTCAGTAAGTTCAAGGCCAGCCTGGATTTCAAAGTGAGTTCCAGGATAGCCAGGACTGTTACACAAAGAAACACTGTCTCTAAAAATAAAAATAAGATATTTAAAACAAAGAAATTCTTTTAAAAGAAGTCAGACCCAGAGGAGCAGACTCTTATTCTAGTTATTTGGGAGGGTGACAAAAGGGACCAGTATTGGCTCAGGACACCCCAAGACCAAGTTCTCAACACAGAGGAGAGAGAGCAGGCAGGGAATAAGAGACTGAACACAGGAGATGGAGGCCAAGGCAGAAGGGGAAGGGGCGTTTGTTTGGAGGACAGAGGACTGCCTCTGGATAAAGAGGAGACCTTAGGCAAAAGGCAATTTGTAAAGGTAAAAGGGAAAGCCCTTGTTAGGATGAGCCCTTTGGTCTTAATTGGGCATGTTAATTAGGACAGC